AAGGGGGCACGAAGGCGTATTCCGTACTTTTCTGTATGTTTGCAATATCTCGTGATTTAAAACATTTAAGACAGAAAACCATGTTGCTTTATAATACTGTGACGTTCCAGGGGAGGGGGCATTTAAGGGGTTCTTTTGAAGTCTTTGTAACTCTTAGCTGTCCAGGATTATTTTTTTTTTTAATTTTTGCCAGAGGGTACATGTGCTCACAGGAGAGGGAGAGAAAGAAAAAGAAAGTGAGAGTACCTCCCGTGGGGCATGGTTACACTGCAGAACCTTTGCCATCTGTCTCTGCTTTCAGGATTTTAGGCACACATGCACATGTCCCTGGCATGTGTTTCAGGCCACTGGACCCAGGAATTGAACCTCACGGTTGGCCATGTTGGACCCAGCCACTTTAATCCACCAGGCCATGGGCTGGCCTCAGTTGTCCATGAATTTATTAATGACTTGCCCATTCCACTGGATACTCTGCCTCACCCCTGCCCTTCTCCCTGGATCCCTGATCCCTGGATCCCTGATCCCTGCCTGCTCTGGGTTTATTCTCTGCTGCCTCCCCTGGTGGGAGTCTGTTCACGGGGCAGGTGACGTCAGGGGCTGAGAGATGACACTCTCACTGTGGTCTACCCCTGTGTCAGTCCAGGCACTTATTCCAGAGCTCTTAGGCTGTGGACCCAATGAACTGCGATGGTCTGACCCGAGAAACAGGTTGTCAGGAATGCATCTAACCTTTTCCCCAGTAGTTTTAAAAACTCTGGTCAGGGTCCTTTGTTGTTTAGGGCCTGGGGAGGGAAGGGGAAGTGTCAAATGATCAAATGGTTTTATCTAGTTACCTTTCCTGTGTGTTTTCCATTTGAGGAAATTTTCCTTGGTTGGAGATGTTGAGAACCCTCTGGTCCAGTGTCAAGAGTGAGCCAGGGACCTGGCGCTGGAGCTGAGGAGAGGAGTTGGGTTGCTGGGTGGCCATCACTTCTGTGAAGCAATGACGTGCCTTTCTCAACTGCTGGGGAGGTGGGAGAGGCTGCAAAGCTGCATCTACACCCACCTGGATGGGAGGCAGGGAGCTGGAATTGCAGGGTGAAGGGGTGAAGGGTGTGGCAAGGAGAGCTTGGGCGTGGGCAGCAGACTCTCCACTGACTCTGGCCCCAGAGACCTTTGCCCTTCCTGACTTCATCTTTCCTGTCTCTGATGGGTTATGCGGCCTGGCCACGTCTCTGCCACTGCTCCCTTGTGGAGCCAAGTAGGAAGTGGAATGAGGTGTATGCCCAGGAGGCACGCTCTTGAGGGCACCTAAGGTGAAAAGCGGCCGGCCAGTCCTAGTGGCATTTCGTTGTTTAGTCTGGCACTCCATTTATACATTCGCTTGCACTTGGCAGGGTCCCCTCAGTGGCCACAGGTCACCTTCTGAAGGTAGACCTTAGAGCCACAGTGGTGGCACAGTGGCTTACTCTGACACTTTCCAAACGATGACATTCCCTTTTTCATCTGGCTTTCAAGGTTGAGACCAAAGATGAATTTCAATTTTTTTATGCCAAAATAAATTGGTACTTTATTATTATTACCTTCAAAAAATTGTTGTAGGGTATCTGTGCTCACGGTGGGAGGTGGGGCGAAGAAGTGAGAAATCACCTTCCAGGGGGTGGAACCACCGTTCCTTCTCTCGGGATTATGGGCATGCATGTACATGTGCGTGGTTTGTTTTTCAAGCTGTTGGTTCCGGGAGTTGAACCACTCAGTCAGCCACGTGGGATCCAGCACTTTAATTGCCACACCTCATGACTGGCCTTTACACTTGTACTTTACATTGTCCATGAACTTTTTAAGTCATTTTGTGTGTGTGTGTGCGCGCACGTGTTTAAGTTTATTTATTTCTGGAGTGGGTGTACCTCTGACAGGGCCTAACCCTGATGCAATCTCCCCCACGCACCTGCCTTGCAACCAGTCAGAATCATGGGGGTGCTAAGTCGGTGTACCCACAGGTGCGCCTGATATGTTCAGGTCAACCTGGGATCCAAACCTGGGGCCTTTCCAGATAGCTCCAGGGTCACACACTGGCACCATTCCTCCTCTGCCACAGTGTCTGGGCTCCAAATTCTGTATTTGAGGAGAGAAGGTTTAGGTGTATACATGTTAAATAGACATTTTAATTTCCTTTTCTTTTTAAAATTTGCTAGAGGGTGCAGGGTGAGGGAGGAAGGGAGAAAGAGAGAGAGAGAGAGCAAGCACCCTATGAGGAATAATTGTTATAACAACAATGTTTCTAAGGGCAAGGGTGAGATTTAGAGTCTTTAGATTTGCATAGGAGCTTCCCAGGGCTCTGTTGTCCAGTTCAGTAGTTTGCTATGGCTCCAGCAGGGAGACGCTAGTTCAGGGCTGACCATCTCAGCTACTGCAGAACTTGAAATTTTGCTCATTTTAGGGCATTTAAACCTGTCCAAACAAACAAATCCTGCCAAGTAATATGTAAATTTGTGGAAGGCTTTGCACATTGCTCTCAGCTAAGGGTGTACCACCAGGTGTGATCTCATTTGCCAACTCGCCCTTTCCTTTCGAAGCCATCACAGTAGAGCTAGCAGGTTCTGTGTGCTGGTGAATCCTCGGTTTGTTGTCCTCCCTAGCGTCTGCCTCGCTCTGCTCTGCCTTGCCCTGCTCTGCCTTGCCTCTGCACGTGTCCCTGGGTCTCCACCTGGGTGCTTCTGGCAACATTTCCAATAGCTTTCTGTGCATTCTGAATTCTTCCTCCCAGCCCAGCTCCTCTCCACACTGGGATGCTCCTTCGTCAATCATGGCTCTGCTGAGTGGATGTCACAAGCCAGAATCCTGAGGATTCAAGCCATTTCACCAGCATGTGCGGCCCAGATGTCTCTGAACCTATCTTGAGAGGCCCTGGGTCCCCATGCCCACTCTTCCCTCTCTAGGCCAGGTCTGTCTACTCTCTTCTGGAAAACTGCCTCGGCTTCTTACTGGATGTGCTGCTTGTCTCGGTCCATGCTCCACAGCAGCCAGAGTGGTCTTTAGAGCAGAAGGAGTTACAGGTGACTCCCTTCCTGGGAGCCCTTGGCTGCTTTTCCATCGCCCTTAGCTCAGACCTAGGCACTTCCCCGCACTACCACTGCACCTTCCTCTCCACACCCAGCCGCTTGCCCTTGACCCAGCTGTCCTGCTTTGACCTCACCACCTGGCCTTGACATAAGCTGCCTACCCTTGATCCCAGCTTCCCACCCTTGCTCCCTGACCCCAGCCGAACCCCTTTCCTACCTCCTGGTTCTTCCCCAGATCTGCCTGTAGGCCTGAGGGCTTGCTTCCACTTCCCATGGCCAGTCCTTCTGGGCTTCAGAAGGGAGATCCCTTCTGGCGCTCCCTCTTCTTTCTGCACCTCTGCTCATTTGCTGTTCATTTGTTTATTTGCTCTTTGCTTCTCTGTCTAAATTGCAGGAGGGCAGGGAACCATTTCTGCCATTGTCTGGTTCCTCTCCTGGGCTGGTACGTAGGCCCTCACAAATATCTGCTGAGTGATCAAGTGAATGAAAGTTGGGTGCCTTTCAAGGACCTGCTAGTGGACTCATCCCTGTGTCTGATGAGCTGAAGACTAAGCTAGCCTGACTTTTGCAGCTAGGTTTCCTTGAGATTGTGGTACGTGTTGATTTTGACAAGTCCTCCTTCTGGCCCTCAGCGGGCATCAGTGGGTTAAAACAAAAAATTAATATATGATGAGAATAATACATGCATTTTAGATATTTTATTATGAGTCTTGATACTTCCCCTTTTATTAAAAAAGAATTATTTATTTTAATTTTATTTAGTCATTCATTTATTTTAATTTGACCAGAGAGAGAGAGAGACAGAGCGAGAGAGCGGGAAAGGGAGAAAGAAAGCCACTGTGTCTGGGACTCGAACCATGGTCAGCCATGTGGGAGTGTCAAGCACTTTACCACCATGCCACCTGCTTGTCCCCCTTTTTCTTCCTTTTTCTTTCTTCTTCTTTTTTTAATTTGCCAGAGAGCATGTGTACTTGTCAGAGACAGAGAAAGGAGAGGGAGAAGGCACTCCTCAATGGGCCATGATCACTCTGAAATCCTTTTTCCTTATTTGTTTCATCCTGTCAAAATCTGGGGTATGAGCACACACACACACACACACACACACAACTATTGTCTTTTCAAGCCATCAGGGCCAGGATTGAAATTATGTAGTCAGCCATGTGAGATCTGGCTCCCTTAACCACTAAGCCACAGTCCAGACCTCATTTAGAATATTTTGAAAAAGTTTATTTGCCTATTTTTCCCATATGCTAGAGAGATATAGAGAAATAAGAACTCCAACAAGATGAAAACACCAGGATCCACCCCAGCCTTAGCCAGCCTGGATCTTAGGCAGGTGCACGCCCAGTGTACTCTGGGAGGTTTCTGGACGTGAACCAGGAGCCTTCTCATATGGATTAGCCGTACAAAGCATCTTATTCACGGAGTCTTTGTGGTGCTGCCTGAAACCTGTAATGGTTTCTCAGAGCAGCCCACACAAACACCAGAGGCAAAGGCATTTGGTGCCGGTCCAATGGAAATCAAGGTTCAGGGCCATCGTGGAGTCGTTCTTGGACACTCGGGGTTTCTCTTGTGCCGGTCCTCAGGCAGGTGGTTGACAAGAGTGAGATTTATCTTTATGACAAGTTGCTGGACAGCCATCCATGTCTTGGCATCAGTCGGGTGTAGCCTGGAAAACTGGCTGGAGGTCTGGTTCCAAGGGATGGCTGGGGGTCCCAGCCCTGGCCTCTGCTGTTCATCCCTGGCTTTTAAGCGGGGGCAGCAATTGTTTGAAGAGTCCTAAATAGGTGAGGGGTTATGAAGTGTGGTGACTATTGCATCTGTTAATGAAAGATGTTCAGTCTGTTAAAAAGGACAGAAAAACTTAAATTCAGAATGAACGACACTTCTTTATGAGGAATTTTGCTAATATTTGGTAAAAATGCTCCACGGTGTTACACTCTTCCTATTTTGTTCCAGGTAACCACTAAAGATGGCAGAAGCTCACCAAGCTGTGGCCTTTCAGTTCACTGTCACTCCAGATGGGATCGACCTACGGCTGAGCCATGAAGCCCTGAAGCAAATCTATCTTTCTGGACTTCATTCCTGGAAAAAGAAGTTCATCAGATTCAAGGTTTTCCGCTCTCTGTCTAAATCTATATAGTAGTCACTTTTAATATCTATGAACAGGTCTCTTAGTGCTATTAAAAATAAGTGTTTTTAATTTTTAAAATAATTATTTATTTAACTTTATTTATCATTATTATTACTGTTTTTTAAAATTTGACCAGAGAGAGACCAGGGATTGGGGGGGGGGGGTTAGCACAAGGGACTGAGAAAG